AAAGAATGAACTCCAGGATATGTAGAGCCACAGGGATAGTAACGGGATTGATAATTGCCTAGAGGCATATCAGGGAAGGATGGGAGGTAATAACAGGAATATGAGAAGAAATTGTTCTGAAATTAATTGTGGTGATGATCACACAACTTTTCTTAATATGATTGAAGAATTGTAAAAGTGTGTGTTACAGGAAGTACATGCCAGTAAAACCTTTTAAATATGACTAAAAAAAAGAATAAATTAAAAAATACACCTATATCAAAATATAGTAGCTCAAAAAAAAAAAAAAAAAAGAGTTTTGGTGGGAAATCATTAGTCCTCCACCTTACAGTCTTTATTTGGCTTTCTGACTTTTTTTACAAAAAAAAAAAAAAAAAAAAAAGGATTTTCCAAACGTAGTTTTAAAAGCTATGGATCGGAAGGAGTTTCCAGTGCAGCCAGACCTCGAGGTCTCAGCCCAGGCTGTGTATGCGAACCACTAGCATGTTTACACCCTTGCAAAGCCAGGGGCCACCTCCAGCACCTGAATTCTGGCAGGTCGGCCCGAGCAGCTGTGTTTCTGAAACAAGCCTTTGCTGATTCCAGGTTCTGCCAGGCCTGAGGGACCGCTACCGCCACCGAGACTGCCCACCCAGATATCAGAGCACGGGCCCTACCCCCAAGCATAAAAGGAGGAGGGGGTTAGCTTGCTTATGGGATCAGTAAGTCGACTCTATGCAGAATGGTTCAGAGAAAGTTCTAGAGCAGCCCCCCTCGGCCCCGAGCCCCTCTGGGTCCCTCCCCTCCAAAGAGCGGAGAAAACCAGGTGCTGGGTCTCCCCACCTGTGAGAGGTACTTGTACAGCCGGGCGTCTCGCTCCAGTCCCAGGCAAGCCAGGAGCTCCTCTTCGCCGCCCTCCAGCAGCTGGTAGAAGATGTGGAAGTTCCGTTCGCCCTGGTTTTGATGGACGACACGAGACTTTTCTATCAAGTAACTGATGATGTGCCCGCCTACAGGAATGCCCTTCAAAACAGAACAACAATGCAGCAGCAGCAGCAGCAACGACCAGGCCAGTCTCCCCCTGGAGTCTCTCTGATCAAAGGACCTGTTTCGTTGGAGGGACGTCCACTCTTGAGTGTTCTGTGGCTGGCTCTCTCGAGGTTACGGGAACCTTCATCTCTGCCTACCCCAAACCCAAACCAAACGCACTGCCGACTCAGACTCACCACGGCCCTACAGGACAGGGGAGAACTGACCCTGTGGGCTTTCCAGATTTTGAGACTACAGTGAACCCTCGCCACTTCGCGCTTCGACTTCCGCGGCTTCACTCTATCGCGGTTTTTGCGTAACAGCGCATGCTCTGTCATTACTGCCACTGATTGGCTCATACTGTACACGCTTGATGCCATACATAATATAATAAATAATAAATGATAATTGTAATGTCCAAAATGTTTTACTGTATTTTCCCTTTTTCGTTTAAGAAATTGGGTAATACGAGTGTAATGGTGACTAAAGGGTGTTTTTTCATGTCCTCTATGCTCTAACTACGAAAATATTTTATTTACAAATAAGGAATCCTACTTCGCAGAATTTCATTTATCACGGTAGGGTCTAGAACCGATTAACCATGATAAACGAGGGTTCACTGTACTACTCTTGACAGGAGTAGAAAGCCTCCTTTTTCTCCCTCGGAGCGGCTGGTGGTTTCGAACTGCTGCCCTTGCGGTCAGCAGCCCTACGCGTAACCACTTCACCACCAGGCTCCTGTGCCTACCTGAGGTCGGGGTTGGAGGTTCCATGTTTACAGCATGGATATCTTACCTTTCCCCTTTAGGGTTATAATCCATTACAAATTAATTAGTGTATGCCGAATTAGGTAGGGGGGTCAAAGGTCTTAGTATCTGTCTATATGGCTGTCGAATACGTTTATCCAATTGATCGGCACCACTGATTGGAAAGATAACTCTCTCCCTATTGACTCAAAGTGGTGTCCTCATCACGAGTCGGGTGAGTATCTCTGTGGAGTTCCTTCTGGACTTTAATCTGGTCCCTTGGCTTGTTTCTCTCTCCCTGGGTCAATTTCACAGGGTATTAATGGTCATTTCCAGTACCGGATTTCTATTCCAGAACGTATGTAGGGTCTTTGCAAAGCAATAATAATAAAAACACAGACGATGCAATTAAATAGTGGACAAAAGACTTGCGTATATAATGTATATAAGAGAATCCTTAATGATCAGGGAGCTAAAAATTGAAACACAGTGAAAAACCACGATTCCCCTCATGAGAATGTCTAAAAGGGCCGACAATACCAAATGTTGGCAGGGGTGGGGAGCAACTGGTTCACTTACTGATTACCCTCATGTGGGTGGTCAGCACACAGCCCTCACTGCCCAGATCTGGGTTCTACATAAACCGGTGCAGATATCCCCAATCCATCAAGACGGGTGCACACGGTAGCTGCAGCCCTCACTCACACCCCTGCCATCGAGTTGATTCCCACCCCTAGCAACCCCATGGGGTGCAGAACCGCCCCCGTGGGAGTCTGAGATGGGCGGCTCTTTATGGGAGCAGAAAGCCGCCTCTGTCTCTTTGCTGCAGCAGCGGGCCCCAACCGAACACTTGTGAGGGTACCTCACAGTACCTGGCAGTGGTTTTGCTCTATTGCACCTGGGGTGGCTAGGGGCTGGACCAACTCAATGACACTGACAACATACCCCCTAAGTGGCACATGAGGGTGTTCACAGCACCCCATCATCATCGTCGCCCTGAATGGGAAATAACCAGTGCTCATTGAGGAGAATGAGCGTATGGCGACAGCCGGACAGCCTGTTTGCTACTTGCAACAATATGGATGAGTCTCCCCGATGTCATGTTGGTGGGGAAACTAGACACCATCCCGCCCTCCATGTGCCTTCTTGTATTTCATAAGGACACCGGATTCTATTAGCACCTAACCTACTCCAGCGTGCCCTCTGGCGAACTCACTGTTAAGACCTTCAAAGACCTTATTTCCACACAGGATCAGATTCATGGGTACCAGGCATTAGGATGCCAAGCTATCTTTTTTTTTTGAGGGGGGGTCACCATTTAGTCTACGGGCACAGTCCATGTGATGTCGCTGCTGTTCCCGTGGGCTCATTCTGTGCACACCCCACAATGTAACCAGCCAGTGTCCCGTGGACGGGCAGTCAGCCCTGTGCATGTGTTGGCGGGCGCCACTCCATTCACATCGCGCGCCGCCCTATTGCTCCGTGGGGGGTGTGCTTGCACGCGTGTGTGGCCCAGGTCTGTAGGACCGTCCCTGGGAGCCCAATGTGTGCTTTAGACAATACAATGTCAAGTCCACGAGATAGCATATGGTGTTCACACCCTGTCAACAACAGGCTCAGAGTTCCCAATGAACCACATCCTTGCCAACACTTGGTATGATCAGACTTGGTCATTTTTTTGCCCACCCAGAGGTCTAGCAACCGCCGGTGCAGGGGTAGAGCCCTCCCCTTCCACCCAGGAGGTCACCGTCCCATCCCCGGAGAATGCGCCTCATGATCAGCCGCCCTTGGGCAGCAACGGCTTGTGTGTTGCTCTTATGCTAAACAGATTTCCAGGGAGCTTCCAGACCAAGCCAGGCGACGAAGAAAGGCCTGGCAATCCACTCAGGAAAAAAGCCAACGAGCCCTCTGGATCCTAATGGAGCCCAATTGGGTCTGCAGTGGATCATGGGACGGAGGGGGGACCAGGTGGCTTTCTGTTCAGTTGTGCACTGGGTCAGTAGGAGTGGGGGGAGGGGTTGGCTTGAAAGCAGCTATAACCACAGAGGGTATAGAAAGGCCTCTCAGTGTGGTTTCCAGTTGTATTTTCAAAAACGAGTCGTTAGGTACCAAGGAGTTGGTCCCTGACCCATAGCCACCCTGCGCCGAACAGAACCCAGCACTGCCCGGTCCTGCGCCATCCTCACAACTGTCCACTGCTGCGGCCACCCATTTACCTCGGTGAGTGCTAACCCTTCTTTGCTCAATGGCTTTATCCCCCTCCCCCCACCCCTAAGAGTGCCCGAGCCAGGTTTCCATCACTGCCCATGACAGAGGTGCCCGCGCCCGCGTCAGGAGAGCCAGGGTACCTTAAAGTCGAACTGTATGTCCATGTACTTCCCAAACCGGCTGGAGTTGTCATTCCGGAGGGTTTTGGCATTTCCAAAAGCCTTGGATACAAAACCGAGGGAGAAGGGTTGGCTGGGCCCAATGGTGAGTCGTCATCTAAACCCACCGTGCCTGTCAAATTCCATACGCCAAAGGGCACATGTACCACAGGACTGGTGGACCAAGCAGAAGCTAAGGGTGAAAGCCAGCCTGTCTCTTTGAGAAAGGAAGCTCACTAGTTCAACAAGTGCACTCTGCCGGGTCTATTCCAACTCTCAGCGACCCTGCAGGACAGGGTAGAACCGCCCCTGTGGGTTTCCAAGACCATCACTCTTTACGGAAGCCAAAAGCCTCATCTTTCTCCCAAGGAGCGGCTGGTGGTTTCGAACTGCAGAGCTTGTGGTTAGTAGCCTAATGTGTGACCCACCACACCACCAGGGCGCCTTGGTCTCAAGGACAAGAAGGGGAAACACCTGGTCCCCAAAGCTCAGTCTCGTCATCTTTGAGGAGTGGCTTCAGGAGAGG